GTTTTTTCGGTAAAGTCACGTTGAAGAGAAACAACAAAATAACAAAATATATATAAAACAATAAAAAATTCTCACGACGTTTCGACCATAACTCAAACGGTCATCATCAAACCGACACACCTGATGATGACCGTTTGAGTTATGGTCGAAACGTCGTGATAATTTTTTATTGTTTTATATATATTTTGTTATTTTGTTGTTTCTCTTCAACGTAACTTTACCGAAAAAACTAAGAATAACAAAAAATAAGTAATATTTAATTTTTTTTTAAAAACACGCTTTAATGAAATGTACCGTACGATTTTTCGATTTAAAGCTTTCGTGACTGCAAGGATTCATCTTCTTTGGTTCTTTCGGTAAAGTCACGTAGAATGATAATAAAATAATAAAATAAAACAATATTGTTGGGCCACTTTCTACGTGACTTTACCGAAAGAACCAAAGAAGATGTACCGTACGAGTTAATGGAAGAACTCCACAACTCCAGGAAGTGGCCCCGAAGTTTGCCACAACGTAAGGGGACCGTGGGCAATTACAGCCAACGTGAGTTGAGCGTGGACAATTAGAGCCAAGCCGAAACATAACGTATAAAAATCAATGTTTACAAATATATATTAAATATATATTGAAGCTCTGTCGTTCCGACAGGTTTGTTCCTTTCACCCGAAGAAGGCCACTTGTGTTGTGGCCGAAACGTCGTGAGAATTGTATTGTTATTTTATTTTATTATTATTTTATTCTCATTCTACGTGACTTTACCGAAAGAACCAAAGAAGATGAATCCTTGCAGTCACGAAAGCTTTAAATCGAAATATATATTTTATGATAGAATATAGTATTGTCATCAGTATGACATAAGTTTACCAAGTTTGTGGTCGATACCACATTGGGTAGTGGATTAGAATTGAGTTACAAGATTTGAGGATACAACAACAACAAAGAGATTTCGATTTAAAACTTTCGTGACTGCAGGGATTCATATTCTTGGTTCTTTCGGCTAAGTCACGAAGAAGGGAAATAATAAAAGAAATTGCAATATTTTCATTTATTATTTTATTATTTCCCTTCTACGTGACTTTTACCGAAAGAACCAAGAGTATAAATAACAACAGAGTGAGTTAATAAAAAGCGTGTAAAATTAAAAAAAAACACGCACAGTGTCTACTACGTCTGGTAAGATTCACAATGGGCCAGCAAACCCGCAGGGACTCCCAACACCGCTCCCTCCATCGTAAACCCCCACGGGCCCCCGCCTTCGACGCGGCTTTGGGTTGAGTTTATTCTGGGTTCTTTCTTACTTGAAAGTCGTCACTTTTACAACGCGAGCACGTTCACGCCGCCACACGGCCGCGTTTCATGAACACACAAATACAGACAAAGATCCCCCGAGTAGCCTTAACCCGACTGTTAGGGGCAAGTGCTGTTAGCGAGCAGCACCTATGAAGGTCGGCACGGCACACGAGGGGGGGTGGAGGGGTGTCCAACACCGCGCCCGATCGCCTTTGTATCCCCAGTGGCGATGTCTACACACCCCACCATGTACTTACTCATTTTGAGGCTGAGTCGACCTAGGGGAGGCCCGGGACCGGTGCAGATAATTGTCACTGGTGTTGGCCGTGAGCGGGAATCGAACTCGGGTACCCCGGGTTTCGTAGCGCAGAGCCCTAACCGCTGCAGCTCCCCCCCCCCCACACACACACCAACAGACACACCAACAGACATACACACACACACAGACACACACACCAACAGACACACACAGACATACACACAGACACAGACACACACACCAACAGACACACACAGACACAGACACACAGACACACACACCAACAGACACACACACACAGACACACACACCAACAGACATACACACACACCAACAGACATACACACACACAGACACACCAACAGACACACACACCAACAGACACACACAGACACACACACCAACAGACACACACATACCAACAGACACACACAGACACACACACCAACAGACACACCAACAGACATACACACACACACACCAACAGACACACACACCAACAGACACACACAGACACACACACCAACAGATACACCAACAGACATACACACACAGACACACCAACAGACACACACACCAACAGACACACACAGACACACACTCCAACAGACACACACACACCAACAGACACACACAGACACACACACCAACAGACACACCAACAGACATACACACAACAACAACAACCGCCATTCGCCACTAAGTGGCGGTGACGTCACCACGACGCTTGTGCCAGGCTATGTGCACCCTGAGGCCACGTGAAGTGTCGAACGCCCGCTGACAGGAGGTCACGGGGCAGACCCAGGTGCCACGGGTCGACTGACTGAGATGACTGGCTGATGCACCACCTGTGCCCCCTACTGTGCCAACCTGCTGTGCTTTAGCCACCCGGCGCTCCGCTCGTTGTTCTGAGCGTCGCTCCTCCGTCCTCCGTTGTTGTTGGAGGGCGACTGCCTCCAACTGCCCAGTAGCATCCTTCACGAGCTTCCTCCACAGAGGCCGATCTTGACACCGCTGGTACCAGTCATCGGCAAGTCCACTCAGCTCCACGTCCTCCTGTACCACATCACTCCATCTCTTCTCTAGCCCGTGCCGCGCCCGCTTAGCCCCCTCAATCCGGCCAAACAAAAGCTGTTTCGGCATGCGGTGGCTGGGCATGCGGGCTACATGACCCAGCCATCGCAGCCTTGCCTGCCGGAGGAGCTCACCGATGGGACCCTGCCCAGATCTTTCAAGGATTTGTGAGCTCCTCACACAATCCAGTCTGGTTAAACCCAGGATGGATCGTAGGCAGGCCAGCCTAAATGTTTCTAACCGGCGAAGATGTTCCATTAGGGGGGTCCACGTTTCGCAAGCGTAGAGAAGGGAGGGAATGACCGTGGCCGAGAAGACCTGAAGCTTAGTGCGGAGCGACAGACCAGGTAGCTTCCACACAGCGTTACGCAACCGATGAAAAGATATTGCCGCTCGACTAATTCGGAATGAGACCTCTGCTGTTAAACTGGAGCCAGTCATAAGCACACTGCCCAGGTATGGGAAACTCTCCACTCTCTCCACAACTGCCCCATCACCGATTGAGAGTTGTGGGGGTGGAGTGTCCGATGGTACAAAATACCCAGGCAGGTGCTTAGTTTTGGTGGGGCTGATGGTAAGGCCCCACCTCTTAGTGGCACGCTCCAGTCTCAGCAGCAGCGTCTCCAACTCCTCCTCTGAATGAGCAGCTATTACCAAATCATCAGCATACATAACGTGGTTGAGCAATAGGGAGCCATCCCTTGACCGCACCCGGGCATCGATCAGCCTCCCATTATATCTGTACCATATGGAGATTCCCCCGGTACAGCTATTGAAGGCTTCACGAACTACGTGGTCAAAATAGATGTTAAATAATGTGGGAGCCAGAGGACATCCCTGTCGCACCCCAAGGTGTACAGGGAATGGCTCTGACTCCCGGCCACGTAGTTTTACCTGGGCCCGCTCACCATCATGAAGGTCCTTAATGATCGTGAGCAGAGGGTCAGGGACTCCAAAAGCACGAAGAACAACCCAGAGCCCAGGCCTACTGATGGTATGATAGGCCTTGACCAGGTCAATAAAGCAGAGATGTAGGTCTTGTTGGAATTCCCTACACCTCTTCTGTAGCAGACGGACAGAAAAATACGGGATCTGTGGAGGACCGCCCTTTCCTGAAACCGCATTGGGGCTCCGCAAGCCTCTCCTCAGCGTGCCTGGCAAGGCGATGCTGAATAATCCTTGCCAGGACCTTTCCCGGCACACTGAGGAGTGAGATGCCCCTGTAGTTGTTACAGTCTGTGCGGTCCCCCTTCTTAAAAAGGGGGACCACCAGGGCATCCTTCCAATCCTGCGGAACCCGTCCAGTGGTCCAGACTGTTGTTATGATGTCATATAGGGCAGTCTGTGCACAAACGCCACCCTCCCTCAGCATTTCGCTTGGGAGATCATCTCTGCCCGCTGCCTTTCCTGGTCTCAGACTTCGGATCGCCTTCAGTACTTCCTCAACAGATGGTACTTCAACCAGCCACTCACAGGGGGTGACTTCTTCCAATATTTGAGGCACCGCAGCCTCAGCTGCCACGATGTTTTCCTGGCTGAGGGATTTTCCCTCCCCCAGGACCTCACAGAAATGCTCAGCAAATCTGCAAACCTTTTCCTGGGGGTCGGAGATTGGATCACCGTTTTTTCCCCTAATAATGGTAATAGGTGTAGCGCTGCAGGTTACACCAACAGACACAACACACATACAGACACACCAACAGACATACACACAGACATACACACACACACACACGCCAACAGACACACACACCAACACACACACACATCAACATACACGCGTACAAATCTGCGCGATGTTGCGTGACAAGACGCCGGGCAGTCGACTGTTTGGGTTGCATTGCTCAATAACCCAGAGTCCTTGTCGCGTGGAAACGGGCGCCGTAAAACAGCCACTTGGGCTAGCTCTTGGCCAAGAGTGGACGCTTTACGACCGAGCGGTCATCACGGCCTCATCAGGGGTTGTTGGTTTATTATGCGACTCTATTCGCGATTCGGGCCAGACTTGCGATTGTAAAACAAAAAAAATGCGGCAATAACAACCGGAGCGAGCGGCCGCTCTATCGAATGGTTCTCTCACCCTTTGTAGTTTTTTTTTGGCCAACGTGAGATGCGACGTTTTTTTCTCTTGAGGGGAGGAAGAGGGTGCAGGGGAAGGGGTTGGCATGCCGCCTCCCCCCCTACCGTGTGTAAGGGTTTAACTGGACGTCTGTGAAAAAGAGCTTCATAGCTCATCGGATTCCTCCAGCATTTATGAAGATTCTGATTCTAAAACTGGGAACCCCTTCTCCACTTTACTGCCGCTCACCCGCCTCCTCGTCCTGCTCCTCCGTCCTTCCCCTCGCTGTGGAGCCCAGCGCACGGCCCCCTCCAGCCCATGCCCCCTCATCCAGCCCCTGTGGGGCCCAGCGCCCGGCCTCTCATCCAGCCCCTGTTGGGCCCAGCACCCAGGCCTCTCATCCAGCCTCTGTTGGGCCCAGCGCCGGGGCTTCTAATCCAGCCCCTGTGGGGCCCAGTGCCCGGCCCCATCATCCAGCCCCTGTGGGGCCCAGGACCCGGCCCCCTCATCCAGCCCCTATGGGGCCCAGCGCCCGGCCCCCTCATCCAGACCCTGTGGGGCCCAGCGCCCAAGCCTCTCATTCAGCCCCTATGGGGCCCAGCGCTCAGGCCCCCTCATCCAGCCCCTGTGGGGCCCAGCGCCTGGCCCCTCCTTCAGCCCCTGTGGGGCCCAGCGCCCGGCCCCCTCATGCAGCCCCTATGGGGCCCAGCGCTCAGGCCCCCTTATCCAGCCCCTGTGGGGCCCAGCGCCTGGCCCCTCCTTCAGCCCCTGTGGGGCCCAGCGCCCGGCCCCCTCATGCAGCCCCTGTGGGTCCCAGCACTCAGGCCCCTCATCCAGCCCCTGTGGGGCCCAGCGTCCGGCCCCCTCATACAGCCCCTATGGGGCCCACCGCCCAGGTATCTCATCCAGCCCCTGTGGCACCCAGCGCCCAGGCTCATCCAGCCCCTGTGGGCCCAGTCCCCGGCCCTCTCATCCAGCCCCTATGGGGCCCAGTGCCCAGGCGCCTCATCCAGCCACTGTGGGGTCCAGCGCCCGGTCCCCTCATCCAGCCCCTATGGGGCCCAGCGCCCGGCCCCCTCATCCAGACCCTGTGGGGCCCAGCGCCCAGGCCTCTCATTCAGCCCCTATTGGGCCCAGCGCTCAGGCCCCCTCATCCAGCCCCTGTGGGGCCCAGCGCCCGGCCCCCTCATCCAGCCCCTGTGGGGCCCAGCGCCCGGCCCCCTCATCCAGCCCCTGTGGGGCCCAGCGCCCGGCCCCTCCTTCAGCCCCTGTGGGGCCCAGCGACCGCCCCCCCTGATCTAGCCCCTATGGGGCCCAGCGCCCGGCCCCTCCTTCAGCCCCTGTGGGGCCCAGTGCCCAGCCCCCTCATTCAGCCCCTGTGGGTCCCAGCGCTCAGGACCCTCATCCAGCCCCTGTGGGGCCCAGCGCCCGGGGCTCTCATCCAGCCGCTATGGGGCCCAGCGCCCGGGCCCCTCATCCAGCCCCAGTGGGGCCCAGCGCCCGGCCCCCTCATTCAACCCCTGTGTGGCCCAGTGCCCGGGCCCCTCATTCAGCCCCTGTGGGTCCCAGTGCTCAGGCCCCTCATCCAGCCCCTGTGGGGCCCAGCGCCCGGCCCCCTTATACAGCCCCTGTGGGGCCCAGCGCCCAGGCCCCCTCATCCAGCCCCTGTGGGGCCCAGCGCCCGGCCCCCTCATCCTGCCCCTATGTGGCCCAGCACCCGGCCCCCTCATCCAGCCCCTGTGTGGCCCAGTGCCCGGGCCCCTCCAGCCCAGGTCCCTCATCCTGTCCCTGTGGGGCCCAGCCCCCAGGCCCCTCGTCCAGCCCCTATGGGGCCCAGCGCCCGCCCCCTCATTCAGCCCCTGTGGGGCCCAGCGCCCGCCCCCTCATTCAGCCCCTGTGGGGCCCAGCGCCCAGGCCCCCTCATGCAGCCCCTGTGGGGCCCAGCACCCGGCCCCCTCATCCAGCCCCTGTGTGGCCCAGCGCCCGGGCCCCTCCAGCCCAGGTCCCTCATTCTGTCCCTGTGGGGCCCAGCACCCAGGCCCCTCGTCCAGCCCCTATGGGGCCCAGCGCCCGCCCCCCTCATTCATCCCCTGTGGGGCCCAGCGCCCGGCCCCCTCATTCAGCCCCTGTGGGGCCCAGCGCCCGGCCCCCTCATCCAGCCCCTATGGGGCCCAGCGCCCAGGCCCCCTCATTCAGCCTCTGTGGGGCCCAGCACCCGGGCCTCTCATCCAGCCCCTATGAGGCCCAGCGCCCAGGCGCCTCATCCAGCCCCTATGGGGCCCAGTGCCCGGCCCCATCATCCAGCTCCGAAGGGCCCAGCGTCCGGCCTCCTCATCCAGCCCCTATGGGGCCCAGCGCCCAGGTCCCTCATTCAGCCCCTGTGGGGCCCAGCGCCCGGGCCCCTCATTCAGCCCCTGTGGGGCCCAGCGCCCAGGCCCCCTCATACAGCCCCAGTGGGGCCCAGCGCCCAGGCCCCCTCATGCAGCCCCTATGGGGCTCAGCGCTTAGGCCCCTCATCCAGCCCCTATGGAGCCCAGCACCCGGCCCCCTCATCCTGCCCCTATGGGGCCCAGCACCCGGCCCCCTCATCCAGCCCCTGTGTGGCCCAGCGCCCGGGCCCCTCCAGCCCAGGTCCCTCATTCAGCCCCTGTGGGGCCCAGCGCCCGGGTTCCTCATTCAGCCCCTGTGGGGCCCTGCGCCCGGGCCCCTCATCCAGCCCCTGTGGGGCCCAGCGCCCGGGCCTCTCATTCAGCCCCTATGGGGCCCAGCGCCTAGGCCTCTCATCCAGTCCCTGTGGGGCCCAGCGCCCGGCCCCCTCATTCAGCCCCTATGGGGCCCAGCGCCCAGGCCTCTCATTCAGCCCCTATGGGGCCCAGCTCCCGGGCCTCTCATTCCGCCCCTGTGGGGCCCAGCGCCAGGGCCCCTCATCCAGCCCCTGTGGGGCGCGTCGTGGGCAGGAAGAATAATGTCCTGAAATTGCGGGGAAACGGTGAGAAAAATCCTTCAGGTGCCCCTTTTAAAAAATAAAATGTATACAACCGGTGGGAGGGAGGTTCGCGCTTTCCCACGCGCATTCTGCCACGAGATTTGTCGTCGCTTAACCATGGAAACGAATCTTTTTTAACTCCCACAACTTGAATTTGGGCAAATGCAGTGCAAACCCAATGCATATACATTTGTCTTTGCTCTGTGTTTATACGCAGTGTTTTGTGACCGCCATCAACTCGCTTGAAATCCGGTTTTAAATACTGATCCCATTGAAGACACTAACACCCCAATGGGTGAAACTAAAGGATTCAACTATTTTTTATTTTACTCGGTAAGGCCCACTGAACTACGTAGCTCTTTTTCAGAAGCGACTTGTCCACAAATGATAGCTCAACGAAGTGGCTTATCATTTGGATACGTATTGCAGCCAAATACTCGAAACGCGTGTTCATTCTCAATGTGGAGGCGGAAAAACAGACGGAGGACCCGGAGAAAAATCCACGCGACCGCAGGGATAAACACGCATACCTCAAATATACAGCAGGCATCAGGGTCGGGATCAAACCCACGACCTCCTTGTATACCAGGCGAGGTAGTTAGCGTCTCGCTACCACGGCGCCCCAAGGAACCTTATCAAGAATTCAAAGACTATCAGGAGAAACACCTTGAGCCAGTCTGAATGGCTGCCTTGTCTTTTTCTTTTGTGCAATCCTAGACGTTCCCAATCTCGCAATCCAAGCTCCCTGATAGAGACCTCAGAACCCCCCACTCGCCCCCCCCCCCCTATAACAAACAGCACGTGTTCGCTGACCTTTGGACAAACTCTGAACTCTGCCACCATAATTCACTCCATCTCGCGTTTTCCACGTCGGGATCTATGAAAGTGACACCCATAAAGGTCACCGCGAGTTATTACAAATAAACCCCGTGCCACGATTCCAAGCCGATATTTTGTCACTGGCAATTGTGCAACAGCATGAAAGGCTTTGACGGGGTTTCATGTTTTTTGACACTCATCAGCGAGCCATAGCTGGCACCATTACGGACAAGTGCGTGTGCGAGGTCATCATCGGCATCTGGGGAGCAGTGGCGAAGTGGTTAGCGAGGTGCGCTCCGAACTTGGCCACTGGAGTTCGATTGCCGCTCACGGCAAACATCGGTGACGAATGTCTGAACCTGCTCTGGGCCTCTCCTAGGTCGACTCAGTCTTCTTAAATGAGTACCTGGTGCGATGTGTATGTATCAGCATTGGGGAGACAAAGGAGCCCGGGCGTGGTGCTGGCCACCCATCTGCTTGTGCGCCGTGCCGGCCTTCATAGGTGCTCGCTAACAGCGCTTGCCCCCTGGAGTATGTTAAAGGACATACAGGAGATCTCTGTCTCTCTGTCTTTAGTCATCATTATCATCATCAGCCATGATCAATCCACTGCTGGATGAAGGCCTCCCCAAGCCGTCAACATCTCTCACAGTCCTGCGATGTAATAAGTCACCTTGCATGTGACGTCAGTAGCTCTTGCAGTGCAAAAAAAAACAAACACGGCGCCTCCTGAGCCACGATGGTCCCGGTGTGGCTCGGATGTGGCAGTCGAAAAAGGTAATGGAATAGGTGAAGGACACCACTGGCATTCAAATGTATTTCTATGAAAGAATATGGCATCTTAACTGGACCCAAAGAATGACCAAGAAGTAATCAAAAGGTTGCACATAGAAGAAGACAACCTGATGATGATGCAGGCAGTGATAAGAAGGAAACTGGCACTATGTGGACATATTTCGATTTAAAGCTTTCGTGACTGCAGGGATTCATCTTCTGGGTTATTTCGGTAAAGTCACGTAGAATGGGAATAAAATAATAAAAATAATAACAGAATAAAATTCTCACGACGTTTCGGCCACAACACAAGTAGCCTTCCTCAGGTGGACATACTGTATGTGTAAGATGGGCAACAACAGCAGGGCCGGATTAAGATATTGTAGGCCCCTGGGCTACAGGTGCTGTGAGTCCCCCAGTAATATTTTCAAAAGGAAAACAAAGTTAAAGAAAAAGAACATGTATGTTACAAGGCTAACAACAAATAAAAGTCAGCATTTACAAGTGAAATAACTTTTCACTTAATCTCTGGAGGCCCTCCAGCTGGCGGAGGCCCCTGGGCTGCATCCCCTAAAGCCCCGTGCCTTAATCCGGCCATGAACAACAGAGAAATAAAAAAGTGTTATTCGGAAAATGGAAGGAACCGAAAAGAGAGGAAGACCGAACAGAGAATGGCTTAAGGACGACAGAAGAGATTGGTGCCAGAAATGTGTGCACTACTTGAGCATGTTGACACGAGACAGAGAGGAAAGTGGACACAAATGATTAAGTGCAGTGGACACCTTACGGGGCTATCTGCCCACGGATCGTAACAATAATAATAAAAATGTATAATGCGCATTCCATCCTGGGATCCCAATGCATGGAAAGCAGGAAACAAAAACAGAACCAGGGCAACCGACCAAACTAAAGAGGGAAGGCCACTTCAACGAGATGGGGTTTCTAAGCAGACTTAAATATATCTACCGACTCCGATTTCCTGATTTCAAGTGGCAAAGCGTTCCGTAGCTTGGGTGCCACGCTAACAAAAGCCCGATGGCCAAAAGAACGCAATGTAAACCTGGGGAGACTGAAAGTTGGAGATCAGAAGATCTTCAGCACCTTGGTGGGATATATAAATGTATTAGTTCCTTCAAGCGATGTGGGGTGAGCCCTTTTAATGCCCTATAGGTTAATAGCAGTATCTTAAAATCCACTTGGAATTTGACCGGTAGCCAATGAAGAGATAAGAGGATTGGTGTAATGTGCTCACGGAAGGGTGTACGTGCAAGCAGTCGATCGGCTGCATTCTGAACAAGCTGGAGTCTTACCCAATGCTTTGCTCGGTATCCCAACCAGTAGGGCGTTGGAGAAGTCGAGTCTGGGTAATGACGATGACGACGACGACGATGATGGAAGGACACCACTCTGTGTGGTGCTCGGGCTGGTGAGCATGGAGCTCGGCCGTTGGTGTGATACGCCTCTGCAAATACCGAAATAAAATAAATCCACTTCTTCTTTCGTACGGCTGATGTGGAGGCAGAGCAACAACCACAATTCCACCTTCAGGCGTTCAAGCCCAGAACGACCGCGTCACTTGTAGCTAAAGCCACTGTAACATGGTGATGAGGATCGAAGAGACATCCTTCCACAGGATCGTGCCCAGCAGTGACGATGACAAAGTCAGAGAGAGAAAGAGAGAGTGAGAGTAAACTGCTCACTCACTGCTGTGTTGTGTACCGGGTCATCTCACTTAATTAACAAGATGCAATGCATTCCCCAGATTATAAAGACGCCCCGGGAAGGAAGACTGGTCCAAAACGTGCGCTTGGTTATCGATACACTCAGTTGTACAATTCATTTGATCACGCACACACACACACCACACACACGCTGGATTATAAAATCTGTCCTAGAGAATATGGTAAGTTTAACCGGAAGTACACGTGGGACTGTTTGAAGTTGTCACAACTTTAACAGTGGATGTATAAGGGTGCCACGGTGGCGAGATGTTAACTCCCTCGCCTAGTATACAGGAGGTCGTGTGTTCGATCCCGACCCTGACGCCTGCTGCTGTATATTTGGAGTTTGCGTGACTCTCTCTCCCCGTGGTCGCGTGGTTTTCTCTCCGGGTTCTCCGGTTTTCCCCCTGCACATTTAGAAACAACGTCACTCGTTTAGAGTATTTGGCTGCTACAAATGCCCACGCGACGATGATTAGCCAACTTCGTTGAGCTCTCATTTGTGGCCAGGTCGCTTCTGAGCTATATAGGTCAGTGGGTCTTCCCTGGTAAAACTGAAAAAAAAAACCTGTGCTCACTTTAAGCACATGACATGTACCTGGCTCCTATACCCCTGGGACCGACTTACCTCCCACGGAGGGAAACAAAGTCACTGATGACGTGCAGCGCTGGAGCGCCACCTGTAAGGGTGTGTGATACACAAAAGGTCAACAACATTACCTTCAGATGGTAGAAACTTGGGGTTAAATTAAACCTCGCGTATGGATGTACAGGGCAGAGTTTGACAGTCATTCTTTCTGCGAAGGAAATTTCTCGGTTAAATGCCACGGGTGATGTTCCTATAGCAGCGTGAAATCAAAACGAAGATAAGGCGTAGAAGTAACATCAAGACTATTCAAGGCCCTCACTGACGCACGTTGTTCGATAATATCTGAGTGATTAATAAAAGGTGGCGAGTCAAAGCTGGCTCGGCCCTGCACATCTCCTTGTGTGTGTGTGAGAGAGATCGAGTGGGGAGCGGTGGTGTTGTAGTGGTTCGCGCACCACGTTACGAATCCGGCGACCCCCAAGGTCGATTCTCGCTAACTGGTCTTGGGCCTCCCCTAGGTCGACTCAGCCTAAAATGAGTACATAGTGCGGTATGTAAACTTCGCCACGAGGAAGACAAAGGCGGCCGGGCATGTTGCTGGCCACACACCCGCTCGTGTACCACAGTGCCCGGCCTTCATAGGTGCTCCTGGCTAATAGCACTTGCCCCAGCAGTCTGTGAAAAAGGCTATACGGGGGATCTTTGTCTTGATGGGGGGGAGGAAGGGAGGGGGGGGCATGGTCGTTTGTTTGTCTTTTACAGCAGGGTGTATCGAGGGAGGGGAGTTGATGGTGTGTTGGCGAGAAGTTACGCCGCTGATAAGGAGGCGTGTTGGAGCTCTCGAAGCATGTCGCTCTTCAACAAGAGAAAGAGCGGTGTCCACTGGCCCCTTATCTCGCTCAGCGAGTGACTCCCAGTAACCCCAACGGCGGCCTCTGTCGCTGTGGCGTAATTCAATGGCTGGGGGGACGGACGGCAGGAGGTGGTGCCATTTTACAATGATCGTCATCATCATCTGCCATGGTCAGGGGTCAGCAACCTGCGGCTCTGAAGACGCGTGCGACTCTTCAAGGACTG